CAGGGGTCATCAAGTGGCAGGTTGGTGGGTGGAATGGGAAAGAGGAATGGGGTAGGGAGACCAGACTTGAGGCCAACTCTTACCAACTGGGCAAGTCATTTAACTTATATGAGACTCAGCTTCCTCTTCTGTAAAATGGGATAAAAACCTAGTGTGATCTGCATCATAGGTGGGGAGGCAATGTTCTTTATTAAAGAGTAACCAATATTATGACTATTATTATCTGTCTGTTCAAAGAGCCCTGAGCCCATGGGGGAGGGACAAGGTAGTCTGATGGGGAGGAAGACTGAAAGAACCATCTTTGGGGCAGCTGGTTCACAGTTCAATGACAGCACAGGAGAAAGAGCACTGGGCTTAGAGTCAGATGTCTTGATGTCAGGGAGAGCTGAGTTCAAATTTCACCAAGGCCTTTAGTAGCCCTAACCTAGGACAAATCACTTTACTATTTCTTCATGAGTAAAATGAAGGGATTAGACAAGGAAGGCCTGCAAGCTACCTCTAGCTCTAAATCTACGGATGATGCCATGACCCTGTCCTCCTCACTGGCAGAGGCCATGGGCCAGGTTCAGGGCTCTGGGATGGGAGTGAGCAGTCAGGAAGGTCTAGTCTATCCACCATGCTGATGAGCCTTCCCTCCCTGACAGGTGGGGCTCCGGATGCAGCGACACTCACTGGGGGCAGGTTTGATGCGGGCATCACAGGCTGCATCAAGAACCTGGTACTGCACTGTGCCAGCCCTGGTGGTCCTCCTCCTCAGCCCCTGGACCTACAGCACCATGTCCAAGCCGGTGCCAACACCCGCCCCTGCCCTTCCTAGGTGCCTATGCAGACTCCTGGGCCACATGCCCCTGGATAGGACAATATTGATGATTATATTATTATTATTATTATTATTATTATTATTTTGTAAGAAACAAAGGCAACCATCATGCTTTGCTGCTACCCGCCTTGGGGCTGGGCTGACCCTGCCCCGTGGGTTGGCGGGGGACAAAGCCACAGGGTGAGGTGGGGTAGGGATGGGCACTGTGGGATGCCAATGTGCACCAGAAAAGCTAGCAGAATCCCTGGAATTTCAGACTGGGCACAGTAAGACCCATACTAGCCAGGTCCTCTGCTGTGCCAGAACCAGATGGCCATGAGATGCCCAGGCAAGGTCTGGTGCCAGGACCCTTCTCCTGTCTGCCCTGCTTTCTGCAGGAAATTCATGCTGCCTGTCTCACCTGGGGTACTGGGGAAAGAAGACCCCCAAATCTCCAGCTGGGCATACAAGGGTATGCTCAGGATGCCCTTCTCCCTTAGCTTCCCTTCCCTTCCATATACTCCACCTCCGACTGCTGAAGGTTTCCCTCTTCTCCCTGGAACCACTGGCTGGCTTTGAGACCTTCTTATTCCCCCACTCTGGGCAGAGAGGAACAGGGGATCCCCACGCCCCTTTCTGCCAACTCTGTGACCAAAGTTGACTCATCTCCCTAGCCTGGCAGATTCTCTTGCCCATCTCCATGCCTTCCCCAGTACCAGCCTGCCATGTTCTCCACACCCCCAGTATTGTTCTACCATGCTTCTTTCCCCCAAACTCAGAACACTGACAAAGCACCTACTATGTGCAAGGCACTGTGCTAAATGCTGAAGGCTCCCTGTCCTCAAGGAATTTAGTCTAGGGGATAAGGAGGAAGCTTTGAGGGGAACGGTGCCAGCCCACCACAGGCCCTCTCTGGCCCCACATTCTGGTCTCCACTGAATTGGTCTGTTGTTACTCAGACCCCCATATGGCCTCCAACCCATGAGTTCCTACAGCTGAGACCTAGCCCACCAATCTTCTCTCTGTGTCGTCAGAGAAACACATCTGGATGGTGGGCTGTCTACACACCCAGCTCAAAAAAGGATTTGTTCAAGGCAAAGCTCAGAAAAGGGAAAATCTATTGAGGCTTCGGCCCTGGCATCCAAGGCCAGCTGAGAGATAGTTGGGCTCCCCTGCAATCAGTCTGGCTGGGGTTAGTGGGAGGATGGGGGGCCGAGGTCGACCATCAGTTGTTACTATGGGGGGAGGCAGGCAGTGCACAGGGAGGAAGAGGTGAATTAGGAGACATCAGGGCACTAGCTGGGGGTGGGCGGGGGAATGCCAAGAGCTTGAGGTTGGTGGGAAGGAGGTGAGAGAACTGGGACCTGGGCTTCAATTCCCCTCAACCCCCCCATCAAATCTAAAGGGGAGTTTAGGAGGCCCAGTGTGGAAAAGATGTCTCCTCTTGTCCTAGTTAGGCATGAAGAAATGAAGCCAAGGTCATCTCTCTTGGTCTTCCCTCCACCTCTGGAGCCTGGCACCCCACAAACCTATCTCGGGTCCTTCCTGTTGGCTGCCCTCAGGCAATGTGGGCCTGAGGGATGAACAAGCCAGGTCCCTGGCCTGCAGTGAGGGTAGGGATGGGGAGGGAGGCTCCTCCTGTGGTCTTTGTCTTTCTTCAATAAAAGGTGCTACCCCCAGTCAGGTGCCTGCTTTTCTATCTAGGGCTCAAGCTATCCATCCAGTGGGAAGAGCCGAGTTCCAATGAATTAACCTATGTAAAGCACTTTGCAGACCTAAAAGGGCTATATAAATGCTAGCCATTTGATGATGATGATGATGATGGGACAGGGGAGTGGTACCAGCAACATCTTGAGACAGAACTCACAACATTTGATTGGAGTGTAATCTGGGGACTCTAGGTAGGTCCCCCTCGAGGCCAGAGCTGTAGGGAGAGCCCTGGTAACGCTGGCCCCTGCCCCCCAGCTTGGCCAACCTGCTCAGCTGCCACCCCCTGAGGGGCAACCTGGCCTGAGCAGAGGCAGCCAGGCAGACCTAAGGGGCAGCAGGTGGTGTAGATGGAACTGTAGCTGGGGAGCACTTTGGATGCCCTGGTCCTGGCAAGGGTCCAGCCTGGAGAGCAGCAGCACCACCACCAAAGTAGGCCTGCCACGGCCCCCCCAGAGCCCAGCAGCACCAAGGATGCCAGCAGAGTCCTTGGCGACCTTTGCCCTAGGGAGTGAGAGACATCTCCTCAGGCCCTGTTGAAGCCCCTGACTACACCATCCCCCATTTTTTCATTCCAGGATGAGAAAGAGGCCCAGGAGAGTCAGGTAAAGAATCACCTGACTTCGAATCAAGAGAGTAGGGGTATATCTTACTAGCTTTGGGAGCTTAGACAAATCACTTAAAACTCTCAACCTTGAGTTCCTCATCTGTCAAGCTGGGCTCATCTGACCTGCTGGGGTGATTGTAGGGAAACGCTTCCCAATCTCACAGCTCTTTGGAAATGGGAGCAGGTATGAGCAGGGGGGTCCCTGGTTTCTCTGGCCAAGGACTAGGTAGAAGGTGGGCAAAGACCAAGAAGAGTCTGGCTGGCTACCTGTGGCTGATCTGTCCTGGAGGGCAGGCCAGCTCTTCTTGGGCTCACTGTCGCCACCACTGCTGCTGCTGGGGTTCAGAGACTCTCGAGTCATCCAGAAGACAGGAGTCGTTGGGTTGGCCATGGTCACAGCTGGAAACACAGCATCTCAGAGCTGGAGAGGACTTCAGGACTCCCAGTCTAACCTGTACCTGATTAGGACCTGCCTGTACAACGTGGCAGACAAGCAGTTATCCGGCCTCCACCTGGAGACCTCCAATGACTGAGAGCTCAGTGCCTCTGAGGAGGCCCTTCCCACCTCATCCCTTTGTCCTTTCCCATCCATTATTTCATGACCTTCAAGATGGCCCTGTGACAGGAGGCAGGGACTATTCTTTTACAGATGTGGAAACAGAAGCCCAAAGAATGTAGGCTTAGCAAGTGCATAAATAACTGAATTGGAGTAAACAACACCATCAGGGCTCCTGACTCCCCTATGGACAGACGTGGTTCTTTACCCAGTTCCCAGCCTGTAGCTGGCACCAGACTATGAGGGACCTGAAGGCTGGGCGAGTCAATGTTTTGTCACCTCGGGGCCAGCCTTGATAGCTGAGCCTTGCCCCAACCAGTACTTAATAATGTGCATGAGCTGTGTTGAATTCCCACATCCAGAATCCTCTAGTAAGAAGGGGCCTCTTGAAGCCATCTTGTCCATTCCCCACTTGCCCCCTCCCTAAAGCTGATGGATAGTGGTGGTTGTTTCCTCCCAGGCAAGGGGAGGCTTTAGGCTAAAATGAAAAAGCCACGGGATTTAATGTCAGGACTAGAATTCAATTCCCAGGTCCAAGGCTACTTATTACCTTGGTGACCTCATTCACATCACCCTCCTGGGCCTAAGTTTCCCCATATGGGGAGTGGCAATATTCATTCATTTGGGGACCCCGGGCCTGAAATGTCCTTCCTCCTCACTTCTGTCTCTTCAGTCCCTAATTACCTTCAAATTTCAGCGTAAGCTCTGTCCCTCATGAAACCCTTCTCCCCAGCTACCCTAACCCCGCCCCTCAAAAATAAAAAATGACACAGTATCTGTGTGGCAGCTACGTCTCTGTGTATGCCCAGTCTCCTCTGGGTAGAGTGGAGTCTCCTTGAGGGCAGGGACTTTCACCTTTGTCTATCTCCACAATCCAGCACTGGGCTTGGCATATAGTAGGCCCCTCAATAAATGCTTATTAATTGAGTGACTGTGAGCCTTAAAAGACTATGGAAGTGCAGTTGGTGGGGGTCAGAGAGGGCTGGGGCAGGGTTGGGGAAGGAAATGTGCTATGGTAAAAAGTGCTTTGGACCTGGGGGGAGGGGAGAGGTCAGAAGACTTGGATGTGAATCCCAGCTCTTACCTTTAAATAAATGAATGAACAGGGGAGGAGGGAAGCTTTTATTAAGTACTTACTTCATGCCAGGCCCTGTGCTAGATGCTGGGGCTACAAAAAGCTAGGCAGTCCCTGCCCTCAAGAAGGTGATAGTTTAATAATAGAAGACAATAATACATAGAGGATTTATGTTGTGGTCAGGGAAGTTACAGGAATGGCCAATGCAGGCACTGGACAACTGATTGAACCACATTCTTTCCATTTACTGGCTGTGTGACCAGGGATGTTACTTTTATCTGAGCCTCAGTTTCCTCCTCTGGAAAATGGAGGTGATAGTTCTTTCTGCCGTGAGGAAAGCTCTTAGTAAACATTAAAGTGCTAAAATGTCATTCAAGACCACTGAGGGAGAAGACCCTACAGAGACTCTTCAGACCAACCTTTGACCTCAGACTTTGGCCCCTCATATAGAAGCAGCAGTTCTTCCTTGTAACTGTGTGACCCAGGAGACCTCCTTAAAAAGGTCCCCAGGTACCGGGGGGTCAAAGAGGAGATGAGGCCAACACTTGGGCAGGGTCAGAGGGTCATAGTGGGATAAATGGTAGATCCCAGATTCAATTTCGCATCCTGACTCCAAGGTCATCCCCCTTTCCAGAACATCCACTTTTACTCCATCTCTTGGGGCCTGCATTTCCTCCTCTGCTCTGTCTACATCATAGGGCTGTCAAAGAAAAGTGTGCTACAGAAATGGGAGCTGATTGAGCCCATCCAGGCCCTGAATCAATGTAGCCTTCCCTACCCCAAATGCCAGCTAAAGGAGCCTGTGCCCACCACTGACCTCTGCAGCTGGCAGGGGGGTGGGATGTCTGGTCACTGCCATCCCCACAGTTGTTGATGTCCCAGGTGTCACACACCAGGCTCTGGGGGATGCACCTCTTGTTACGGCAGAGGAAGTAGAGGCCTGGGCCACAGGTGGAGATGCTGGAGCCTGGGATCAGGAGAGCTGGGGCAGAAGAGCACAGGGTCACAGACTTAGAGTGGACAGGGCCTTTAGGCAAGGCTATCAGAGCTGATAAGGACTTTAGAGTTTACCCACTTCTAGCCTATACACCCTTCTTTGAATAGATGAGGAAACTGAGGCCAAATAAGATATAGAAGTAGGTAGCCCAACCTCAGGCCCTTTCAGCCTCAGGCCTTCTTATTCTAAATCCAGCACTCCTTTCACATTCATTTATTCTTTCCTTCCTTCCTTCCTTCCTTCATTCATTCTGCAAGTGCCTTCTATTTGCATCTGATAAACTCCTGAATTTGCCTAGCAGACCTTTCAGCTCTTGGGACGGGAAGGAGAGAAGGGGCAGGGAGGGGATGAGCATTTATTAAGTGCTTACTATTTGCCAGGCACTATGACAAGTGCATCTTCCCTATGGCTAGGAGAAAGGAAGGAGGCACAGGAGAGAGGTTCTACAAAATAACAAATCACGTTCCTGTAGTGTTTGAGTCCTTACAAACACTTTCTTCACAATAGCCTTGGGAGGAAGATATTAACACCTTTTCCAGATGAGGAAGATGAAGCCCAGAGAGTTCATATGTTATCCAGCAGTGCTGGGATTTGAAGATTATTCTGGCTCCAAGTAAACTAAAGAAACCTGGATGCCTTTGGGGAGCACTCAGAAGATTCAGGCCTGTCCCTTGTTTGTTTTTATGGAAGCTTTGGATGAAGGTATAGAAGGTGTATATGGAGAAGATGTACTTGGAAGAAGACAATCATGATCTCAGGCTGAAACTAACTTTATAGGGCCAATGTGACTCAACTTGTCTTAATTATATTGACCAGAAAGATGCAAAGGAGCAACTTTCCCCAGACTGATGAGGTTTAGGGGGTTCAAGGGTGCTGGGACCCCAATATCACAACACACGGGTCTTGCCTGAAAGAATTCGACCCAAGCCTTCTTTCAGCCAAAGACAAGGTTTATTAGAACATCCAACATATCCATCAGACTCTTTAAGAGTCTGCACAAGACCTCCAGAATCTGCCAAGATTATTTTTAGCTGTTCTAACTTTCCCCTGTAACCTCCATGAAGGAGAATTCAGGAGTGTAGAGGGAAGGGAGTAAGTAAGCCTCAGGGAACCAAAAAGCAACTGCAGTTGCCTGTTCTTTGAAGTCATCTAGTCTAACCCCCTCATTTTATAAATGAGAAAACTAAGTGCCAAAGATGCTAAGCCAATTCTCTAGCACTCAGAGAACTGACAGAATTGGGCATACACTTCCAGATACAGCATCTGTCCTTGTCCTCTATGCTGCAGAAGGTGTACCCAGGTCCATGGCCTCGAACTGACCCAGTGGACTGAGAGCCTGAGAGCGTCAGGCTGAGTGCTAGATAGCCTCTTAACTGTCTGCCCAAAAAACACCTCTAAGCTTTGGTGATTGGAGAGTGACCCACTGCAGAGCAAGAAAAGGGGTGGGGGGAGACTTACATATCTTCCAGTCTTGGCTAGAGAAGAACTTGGGATTAGGCAGTTTCCCCATACGGGTCACCAAAATTATGAGGTTTAGGGGCTGAGGGGTGCTGTGACCCCAATATCACAACACACAGGTCCTGCCCGAAAGAATTTGACCCAAGCCTTCTTTCAGCCAAAGACAAGGTTTATTAGAACATTCACCATATAGGGCAGACTCTTAAGGAGTCTGAACATTAGAGAACTATTGGCTAAATTTTAAGAATCTGAGCCCATGGCTAGATTATAAGAATCTAAGCACCTTGATGGAGACAAGATGGACCTTATATACAGAAAGACTGTGGGAGGGATCTAGGAGTGGCCAAGTAGTTTGGGGTGACTGGAGGAGGGGCCTAAGGAAGATCAGAATGAGTGTGGCCAGTAAACTGGGGTAAACAGAACTGGGACCTGGACCACGAGGCCCAGGGAGAATGGAGCCTAGTGAGGATTAAGGGTGGGAAATGGCTGGGGGCCATAGGGAGGTCTAGGCTAGGTTAAGGGTAACAGATTGGGTAGCCAAAATGAAAGGCCAGTTGATGGGATTATAGCCTCTGGGAAACACCAGAGATTTAGTCATGTGGGAAAGTCCAGGGTTTTCCTTTTTGGGGTCTAGATCCCATCCTCATCAAGACCACATAGCAAACTGAAAACCAAATGTTTCTTACTTAAACTCCTACTATTGAAAGACACTGTTCTTGGAGCCGAGAATACAAATAAAATGAAAGTCATCCCTGCCTTAAAGGATTTTATTATACCATACTAGGAGGGATATCACAAGCACACAAATAAATAACTATAAGGTCTTTGGATAGCTATAGAGATCTCAGACGTCATCCAGTCCTATGCCCTCCTTTTACAGAAAAGGAAAAAGAGGCACAGACAAGTTAAGGGACTTGCCCAAGGTCACTTGGCTAATAAGAGTCTGAGGCAAAACTCAAAACCAGCTTTTCCTGACTCCAAGTCCAGTGCCCTATCCATTATGCTATGCTTACTAACTGTGTAATCCTGGGCAAGTGATGACTTAACCTGTCTGTCTCAGGCTCCTCAATCTTAAAAAAGCCTGCCTCCCAGAGTTGTTGTCAAGTGAGATAATATGTGTAAAGTACTTAACACAGTGCCTGGTATATAGTAGGTGTTTAATAAGTGTTTGTTCTCTTCCCCATGCTACCTCTCTATCACACATGTAGCATCATAGACAGGATTTGAACCCAGGATCTAGACTGATTCTAGAGTCAGTACTCATTCCATTCTCCCACACAATTTGTGAAGGGAAAGAGTACCACAAACTTGTTAGGGGGTGGCAAGTACAGGGAAGGCTTCCAAGAAGAGACAGTATGTGAGCTGAGGCTTGTAGAAAGATTAGTATTTCAAGGAAGACTTCTTTCCTTGAAGGAAGAGCTGGAAAAGTGGTGGGAAGGCAGGAGTTCATTCTAAGCACATGAAAAAGACTTCAATAAGCTACAGAATAACATGGCTGCTGAAACACCTGACACCATCTTGGGCTATGTCCACAGACGTAGAACGTCTGTTCAGATTATGAGATGGTGATAGTTCCATTCTGTTCTGTGCTGGTCAGACCCCATTAGGAATTCTCATTTTCAGTTCTGGAAGACATACTTTAAGAAACTGATAAGCTGGAGGACAAATAGGAGAATAGTAAATGAGAAGGATAGTAAAGGGTCTGGAAACTGTCACATAAGGACCCACTGAAGCAGATGAGAATGTCCAGTCTGGGAAAGAGACGGTTTTATAGAGGATGTAATATAATGAAGTCAGGTCCAATATTGTGGAAGTCAAGACAACATAGAAGAAAGCATAGGCTCTTCTGTTCTGTGTTGTTCTAAAGGATGTGAGGGTAAAAATTACAGGGAATCCAATTTCAGCTCAAAACAAAGAACAACTTCCTGGCAACTAGGGCTGGCTATCAAGAAACTTGAGGACATAGTTGTCTCCCCCATTTAAGAAGTGACTAAGGGATTAACTATTGGGGATGCTACCAAGAGCACTCTTCCACTGGTTAAGAAGTTTGAGTACATGACTGAAAAGATCCTTTCAATTCTTAAGATTTTATATATTTATTTTATTGTGATGATGTGTTTTTGGGGGTGAGCATCCTCATGGGAGCATCTGTGTGTGTGTGTGTGTGTGTGTGTGTTTCAGCAGGTGGGTAAGGGTAAGGGAGTGTGTATATGCAGCAGGCCTGGATCAATTGGCTTAGCATCTTTGGGACTCAGTTTTCTCATTTATAAAATGAGGGGATTAGACTAAACGACTCCTAAAACCCCTTTTCTGCCCTGAAATTCTGTTCTAGGGTCCTTCTCAGCTCTGACATTCTGTGCTCTAAGATTATTTCCATTTCTCGTGTTTTATGTCATCAAGTCCCTTTCAGTTCTAAAACTGTCAATCCCGGGATTGAAACCCTTTAGGAATGGGGTTGCTGAATGACCTTGTTATCCAGCACAGCCCACAAAAGTAGGCTTCTGGGGTGTGGATGGGAAGGAAAGAGAAGCAAGTGTAAAATACCTACTATGTGCCAGACACTGTGCTACTTCCACTTTTATTTTTTCTTCTCATCAACCCTGAAAGGCAGGTCCTATTATTATCCCCAATACACAAAGGTTAAGTGACTTGCCCAGGGTCATATAACTAGTGTCTGAGGTAGGCTTTGAAATCAGGTCTTCTAACTCTGGGCCCCTCGTTCAATCCACTATGCCACCTAGTAGGGTGGTATGAGAAATAATTCATTTGACCCCTAGTCTATTCCAATCAATTTGATATGATTCCATAGGGATAGTGATTATAAGTTCTGTATGTCAGGCCCCAGAGCTATACTATGAACTGTGGATTGTAGGTTCACTTGCTTAACCGTAGGAAGTCAACTAGAAGCCCTCCACCCTTGCTTTTGCTTGTCACAGGGACCAAGCCCAGTGTGGCAGAGGTGACTCAACTACATGGAAGGTCCTCCAATGTATTTTTGTTCCTCCGGACCATTCTCTCTTGTCCAACGCGAGCAGGTGACCATATTATGACCATCTTATGACCACTTAGAGGAGATGTCCCATGCTTTGCCCAGCCCATGACTCTGACTGTCAGGCATATGACATACGACATATGCATCATATGCCAACCAATGGAATTATTCTGTATTTGATTGAATGTCTAGATATCTAGCCCTATAAAAATAGGGCCCTGGAAGGAGGGGGCATCTCAGATCATGAGGAAGGTCTGGGGTCCACTTCATTAGAGGGGACCATGGACCCTTTAATAAAATGCCATTGGCTCAGAGCTCTGCTTCAGTCTCTTTTACTGTGGGATGGACAATTTGAATCCCATAGTTGGTAGTTGAAGAATATGGAAATGACAATTGCCCCATCCCTCCAATCTCCAACACACAATATTTACACCTCTCTTTTTCTGCTATGATATTTACTAGTGGCTTCTCCCTTTGTTTGTTTGTTTTTTTAGTGAGGCAATCGGGGTTAAGTGACTTGCCCAAAGTCACACAGCTAGTATGTGTCAAGTGTTTGGTCTGAGGCTGGATTTGAACTCAGGTCCTCCTGACTTCAGGGCCGGTGCTCTATCCACTGCACCACCTAGCTGCCCCCGGCTTCTCCCTTTGGAGACTTGGTCTCCTTCCATCTATCAGCATGAGCCCAAGGGCCCTGCTATACTTTCTTCCACCTTTCAGAGTTGACTCTTCACCCTTAAGACACAGAAGCAGAATGCTATAATGAACAGGGTTGGATGAAAGAGTCAGAAAGCCCTATGTTTGAATCCCGCCTCTGATATTTACTAGCCATGTGACCTGGGCAAGTCATATAATTTCTCTGAGACTTGGTTTCCTCAATTTGTAAAAGTGGGATAATAACAGTACCTACTTCACTGGGTCTTTGCAAGGATAAACTGAGATGGTGTGTATAAAGTGCTTTACAAATTTAAAAATGCTCTGTAAATGCTAGCTATTATTATTATTACTATCTTTAGGGAGACTGTGTCCTCTAATGCCTTAGACAGACATTGTGCATTTATTGGAGAGCTAAGTGGCACACTGGGTAGAGTGGAGAGCCTGGAATCAGGAAGACCCAAGTGCAGATCCAGCCTCACACACTTACTAGCAGTGTGACCCTAGGCAAGTCACTTAACCTCTGTTTGCCTCACTTTCCTCACACCTGTCTCCCAGGGTTGCTATGAAGATCAAATGAGATCATAATATTGAAACACTTAGTGTGGTGCTCAGCACATAATAAGTGCTATATAAACATTAATTTTTTTTGGCAGGGTTTCATATAACATCAGAGCTGGAAAGGATTCTAGAGATCAGTGTAATGTAAAGAATGCTGGATTTGGAATCAAAGTGGATTTGGAATCAAAGAACTTGAATTTTAATCCTATTTCTTCTACTTACTACCTGTAAGAGCTTGGATAAGTCATTTAATCGCCATGAGCCTTAGTTTCCTCCTCTGTAAAATTGAACTAAATGGCCTCTACAGGCCTGTTCAGCTCTAAATCTATAATTTCATGATCCACTGGTACAACTTCTCATTATAAAGAGAACGAAATTCAATCCTTGATTGCTTAGGGGACTTGTCTAAAGTCAGAACCATTAGAAGTCAGAGCTACCCCCAATTCTGTGACCCAAACCAGAACACTTTCTGTTTTGTTTCTTTTGGTGAGGCAATTGGTGTTAAGTGACTTGCCCAGGGTCACACAGCTAATAAGTGTCAAGTGTCTGGTCTGATACTGGATTTGAACTAAGGTCCTCCTGACTCCAGGGCCGGTGCTCTATCCACTGCATCACCTAACTGCCCCTACCAGTACACTTTCTGCTCCTCCTCATCAGCTCCCACTATCTGGAGCTGCCCCACCTTCTCTCTTACCATGCCCCCCCACATCACCCCAACAATGTACCTAATCGGAATGAGGTGAAGTCCCCGACGAAATCTACCCTGGGCAGCTGGCCCCTCGTCACTAGGCGCAGGCTCAGGGATCTGCCTGTGGACACGACCGGACCTGGGATGGTCAGTCCACATAATGGGTTCCCAAGGCGGGGACCTTCCTTGGCTGGGCCATCATAGAATTGCAGATAGGAGCTACTGGTGCAGAGATCCTCACTGGGCTGGCTGAGCCCAGAGGTGGTTGTCTGGGGCAGCTCAGAAGGTGGAGGCTGGGTCAGGCTGTATACCAGAAAGAAACGGAACTGGAACAGGACCCTGTCTTGGGGAGATGCAGCCTGCACAGTGAGCCAGCAGTCTGTTTCAACAGCCACAAAGTAGAATTTCCGGGAATCTGGATGGGAGCGGACAATCATCCCATCCCCCTGGAGGATCTGGTCACAGAACTCCACCAGATTGACTAGAGAGAAGAAAATACAGGGGTAGAGAAAGGGAAGGCAGATCAAGGGAGGTATTTGAAAGGAGCAAAGGAAGTCCTCTTGGAAGAGACACCAAAGTTGGTGTCCATGGCATCAGGCTTTCTTGGGCTGAGGACCCCCATTCAGCTTGGATGTTGGGAAGACAAGAGCAAAAGAGAAATTTGAGAGAACATTAGGCACCAATTTTACAATGTTGTACATACAGCTAGCTAATCTCCAGGTGGGAGGTAGGAGATAGCAGGAAGGGTACTACTCTTGTATCAGGAGACTCAGGGGTCTAAGAGATCTGCTGTTCCCACAACCTTTGGGGAAAGGACTTGACCAAGGAAGAACTTGTTCTCCCAGATAAGACTTGAGGAAGAGGGATCTCCAAGCCCCCAATGGAAGGGTCCCAACAACTTTATCTCAATCTCCTTTTTGGGCCAACTCAAGTTAGAGTTACTAGCGGGAGGACAGGAGCATGGGCTCTAAGAGATGCACCTCACTAGCTATGGACAGTCGTACCCACCTGCTTCCAGGGCTGATGCCACCAGGATGAGAGCTCCCAGCAAGAGGAGGCTTGGGGGAAGCCCCAGGAAAGGAGGTCTTGGTTTGAGGCAGGACATCTTGTATCTAGTATTGTCCTCAATCAATTGGCCAGTGTCCAATTCTCTGAGACATGGCCAAGCTGGAGGCTTCAGGTGTAGAGAGGCTCCTTCCTGTCCTGACCAGTCCAAGAGTGAAGCCTGGTGACAGAGAGGACTGAGGAGGGAAAAGCAAGCCTCTGTCCTTAGCCTATAATCTCCATTGGTCTCTTCATGCTTCCTTGAGCTTTGCTTTCCTTGAGGTCAGGATTGTGTCTTGGGGTTGCCATGGAGATTTGGGGCCTTGGCCAATCGAGTGGGAGTGGGGGTGGGAAGGATGATCTTGCTCACCCACCACCCCCACAGGGAGCCGGAGAACTCACATCCTGTTCAGCCCAGGATTCTGGGAAGGGCACTCCATGGGATGTGAGTCCCTGCCCCTCCTCTACAGTCCTGCTACCTTGGAAACTTGAGGAAAAAGAATGAACTGTCCAGGGAGGTCCAGACACAAGGCTCCCAAGCCTCACTTTATTAGGCTGAGTCTGAAGAGACAGCATCAAATGCTATTAAGAGCATTTGAATGCTGGGAATTTACCCCGAAGAGGTCAATGACAGAAAGAAATGCTCCAAAGACACCAGAAACTTCATAGCAACTAGCAACTCTTGCAGAATTGAAGTGGCAGAGATGGAAACAAAGGGGTCTACTGGGGAATGGCAAAGTGAGATTATGGTGCTTGACTGTAAAGGAACATGATTGTGCTGTAGGAAACAATGAATATGATGAAAACAGAAACAGGGAAGAGTTCTATGAGCTGATGCAAAGTGAGGTCGGCAGAACCAGGGAAGCGACATATACATTGACTACATCGACTATAACACTATAAATGGAAAGAGCGGCAATCACAAGTAAAAGGGAATGCTGTGAAATGATGATGACCAAGCTTTGTCCCAAAGAAGAACTATGACACAGCCCCTCTCTGCTTCTTTGAGGCAGGTGGCACAGCAGAGAAAACCCTGAACCTGGACACTGGAAGACCAGAGTTCAAATCTAGCCTTAAACACTTGCTAACAGTGTGACCCTGGACAAGTCATTTAACCTCTGTCTACCTCAGTTTCCCCATCTGTAAAATGAAGATAATAATAATAGCACCTTTCTCCCAGGGTTGTGGTGAGGATCAAAGGAAATAGTATTTGTAAAGCATTTTGCAAACCTTAAACACTATATAAAAGCTAATTATTGTTTAGTGTTATTCTTTGAAGAGGCAGAGATCTGTGGGTGTGGGAAAATTATACAAAATATAGAACTTTTTTGACAGGTTGGCTAGTTTTCCTTAAGCGGAGCTTTCTCCCTTTTTTTTCAGTCTTTGTCATAAGATAAGGGATGTTCTCTGGGATGAAAAGGGATATTAAGAAATATAGATGGTATAAAAGAAAAAATATCAATGAAAATATTTGTTTTTAAAGTATCTTTCTTTAAAATCAGAGATAGAGACAGAGACAGACAGAGAGACAGAGAGACAAAGAGAGAGAAAGAGACAGAGAGAGAAAGAAAGACAGAGAAAGAGAGGGAGAGAGACAGAGAGACAGAGATGGGGGGAGGGGGGAGAGGAGAAACATACACCTAGGTCCCAATCCTGGCTTTACCATAGTTTGTTAGAGGATTAAGAACCGAAAGAAGCCATAGAGATCATGTGGCCCAACTCTCCCATTTGACAGAGGGGAAAACTAAGGCCCAAAAGCAAGAAAGTGAACTGCTCAATTTCACAGGAATAGAGAGTAGCATAATTAAAATTCACGTGCAGACCTTCTGCCTCTAGATGCAGGCTTTTTCTGAAACATTTCACTGCTTGCAACTAAACCAATTAAATTCCAGTAAAAAACAATTGATTACTTATAGAAATCTCTGCTAGGGCTGAAAAGATACAAGATTTGGCTAAGATATGGTCCCTGGGATCGCCTGCCCTCAGGGAGCTCCCAGTCTAGCAGGGGGATATGACATATATACAAATAACTGTAATGCCAAAGCAGGACAGGGGACCAGACCCGGGACTTAATTGATACAGGGGACCCCTAGGTGAAGTAGCTCCTTTAACCAATGCAAGTCAGCCCTTCCTGAGGGCACTGGTAGCATGTAGGTGGAACAGTGGCTAGAGCTCTGGGCTTGTCCTGGGGAAGACCTGAGTTCAAAATCCTGCCTCAGACACTTAATAGCTGTGTGTCCTTGGGCAAGTCATTTACTTTTTGTCTGCCTCAGCATCCTCCTTTGTAAAAAGGAGATTGTTGGAATTGATGATCTCTGTGATTCCTTCCATCTCCATATCATGTGTCTTCCCCAGGGTTACACAGCCAATATATGTCCCAGGCTGTGCCGGCCACGCCATGCACTCTCCTCCTATAAGGAGCAGGCTGCCAGAGTCATACTTACCAGTCTTCGGAGCCTATCCAGATAAACACACAGAGACGAGCCTACCAGGAGGTGCCAACACCCAAGCTTTATTCAGAGGCCATCAGAGGAAGGCCAAGCAGGAAGGCCATAGCAAGAGAGCAGGAGCAAAGAGAGCACATGCTCCGACCCCGTTCCTTAAGTACCTACTTAGCCCCTCCTCCTCAGCCCGCCTACTAGTCAATGATTGTAGGGTCAGATACCGGAAGGGGATGTCTGAGTTTAGCGCACCAAGGGAAAGGAAGTGACGCAGGAGGCTAGGACCGGATACAGGAAGGAGGCGTCTGGGATTAGTGCATAGACAAAGAGAGAGCACGTGACCTAGGAAGTCAGGCCCAGATACTGGGAGGAGGCGTCTGGGGTCAGTGCTACACAAAGGGAAGGTACGTGACCCAGGAAGTCAGGAAGGACACAGGAAGGAGGCGTCTGGGGTTGACGTTGCACTTAGGGAGGGGACTAAGCAAAGGGAACTCATCCTCTGCCGTCCCATTCCCACGTGGCACAGCCCCCTGCCTCAGGAGCACGAGCTCCGGCTACTTCCTTGAATTCTGTTCCTTCCCCAGCTTCATAGCACTGCCCACTGCCTCGGGAGCGTGAGCTCTGGTTACTTCCTAATACCCAGTTCCTACCCCATCTTGCCACAACCCCCACTTGGCAGTAGTCAACATCAGACAGTCCCTCACACCAGGCAGGATTTGAACCCAGGTCTTCCTGGTTTGAAGTTGCCTCTCTTACTAGTATATTTTGCTGCCTCTCTAAATAACATCAACAATTCCCACATCAATGGTGTTTTAAGGTTTACAGCTGAGGTTACTAGCGGACAAAGGAGGTCAGCACCTTGCCTTCAAGTCAGGGCCATGCTTCAAACCTGGGTCTCCTAAGCCTAGGAATTTCCTTCTGCTACATCACAATAGGATGCCTCATTAACAGCTATTCATTTTCTATAATGCTTTTAGGTTAATAAAATTATTTCCTTCCAACAAATTTGCAGAGCAAGTAGTATTGTCCCCATTTTATAGATTTAAAAGGTAACTTGCTCAAGGTCCCATAGTTGACCCCATCCTAGCACTCTGCTACATCATGTCGTCCTTCACAAGGACCTAAGTGGTGCAAGCACAGGGCAGTGGGAAGTCAAGGGGTTGAGGGTAGGGGACAAGGATCATCACCAACTGGAAGGGGCAGCAGGAGGGAAGACTTCCTAGAAGATGCGCCATTTGAGTTGGGCCTTTAAGAATGAAGGTGGTATAAAACCCGCGATTGAGGATGGGATATGGGTGGGTCCTGCATTGAGATGGCGGGATAACAGCTGGTCATCCAAGGGCTGCCCTGGTATACCTAGGTAGATCTGGGTTCTCATCAGATATAGTTCTCAAAGGATGGATCTGGGCTTTCCCTCTGCCAGAGCAGATGGTAACCTAGCCTTTCTTTTTCATTTTGCATGATTCTCATTCATGTCCTTCCATCCATCTTCTGAAAGAGATCAACTTAAGATCACAGATTTAGACCTGGAGGAGATCTTAGGCCATCAAGTCCAACCCCCTCATTTTCCAGTTGAGGAAACTAAGGATAGAGGTTAAGTGACTTGCCTAGAGTCACACAGCTAGTGATTGCCTGAAGCAGGACATGAATTCAGGTGTTGCCAACTGTAAGCCCAGAACTCCATCCACTAGGATACTTAGCTTCCTTTGTAGACCTTTTAATAGTATTTTTTTCTTTTTTAAAATTTTTTTCAGTTAAAAAGAATTTATATTCTCTTCCTTCCAACTCCCCACCCACCAACATTGAGAAAGAAAAACAAAATCCTTGTAGTAAATATGCATGGTTAAGCAAAACACATTCTCACCTTGACTATGTTAAAAAAAAATGTATCTCATTCTTAACTCTGAGTCCCTCATCTGTCTGTCTCATAAAATCCATGTGAAGAATAATGAGGCTCTCTATTCCTAAGGCTAAAAATGAAGCTAAGAAGGTTGTTTTCTCCTAGCTTCTGGTGAAGCTCTTGGCTCCCATTGGAATTCAAAGACAGCATCAGGAGGTGAGCAGCATTCTCCATCATTGGTCCATCATTGCGTTGATCAGCATCCTTAAGTCTTTCAAAGCTGTTTGTCTTTACAATGTTGTTGTCATTGTATAAATGTTCTGCTTACTTCACCCTATAGCAGTTCATATAAGTCTTCTCACATTTTTCTAAAACTATCTATCTCTTTTGCTCATTTTTGTAGGGCACAAAAGGACAGCAAGGTGGTATGGTGGATAGAGCACCAGACCTAGTGTCAGGAAGACTCATCTTCATGAGATCAAATCCAGCCTCAGACACTAGCTAGGTGACCCTGGCCAAGTCACTTAACCCTGTTTGCCTCTGTTTCCTCATCTGTAAAATGAGCTAGAGAAGGAAATGGCAAACCACCCCAGTATCTTTGCCAAGAAAACCCCCAGTGGGGTCACAGAGAGTCAGATGTGACTGAAATGACTGAACAGCAGCAGGATACAAAAGTATTCGCTCACATTCATATGCCATAATTTGTTCAGCCATTCCTCAATTGATGGGCACTCCCTCAGTCTCGAGTTCTTTACCACAAAAATGGCTGTAACAGTATTT